ACCCGAATTTGTAAAAATAAAATCCCAGCAGAAATAAATTTACTACGTATTTTAGTTGATATTACAAATTTAATTGTAATAATTAAGAAATTTGAAGTAATTTTTAAAGAAAGATTATTACGAATTACTTACTAAATTCTACTATTTCTACGGCAACTTCGGTCATTTATAATCAAAAATTGTAATTTTTGTGTTGTCATAAAAATTTGGTTTTTTCCATTGAAATTTACAGTTCTAATTCTATATCAAATATGTAAGCTTTTCAATGTAATATACTTCGTTTACTTTCTCTAGCGATCTGCCCCTTCCGATGTCTTGGATGCGCGCTGGCAGAATCGTAGGTAGGGAGAGAAAAGCTCATTATACTCTCGACTTTAGTTCATTAAACATACTTTTTCATACAGTACCTGCCAACAGTTTTGTTCAATCGTGAATAGTAGTGCGAGTCGAAAACAGGCGTTAATACCTTTAATATATCTTCGAATATAAATAAACATTTCGTTGATATTTTCAGTGGTAATTGGTACCAATAACAGCACATTTGAGCAATGCAATTTTAGCGGATAAAATGGTCAATTTTTCCGTGCAGTACTGTACGGAGTATACGCTCCTCACCGGTTGAGAGTTTGGCCGTGAGATGTCTCCTTTCTTTTCTGGCCTAGCGCTGTTCTTTTCTACTTTGCGCCGGTCAAACTGAAGGTCACATCGCTACAGAAAGTAAACGAAGTATAGGTACTTTATTACGTACGGTTGTTACTGTAATACTGTTGAATTTGAACATTGGGTATAAAAACTGGCGGGTCGCTTTTCCCGACCGCATTTTCAGCATAGACGAGAATGTTGTATTTCTTGTCCGGTTCTAAGCTGTGCAAACTGAAAACAGGTGATTGACCGAGTACTCGAAACAAAGGGGGCGAATTCTCCCCCTGATCGCTCAGCGTTGTCACACTTGTGGGCTCTGAATACTCCGGAGAATTTCTTACTTCCAAGACAAATGTTTGTGGTAATCCTCCGTCTTCATTTGCAGTGCATGACACTTCGGCCGTGTGCCAGCTTGTGTTTCGCAAAACACAATTCCTGGGCGGCATGGGACGATCTAAAACAAATGCTTGAATTCTAGAGAACATGTAGAAGACTAAACGCTGATGACGAAAAATGGCGTGACGCTTACTGAATGAGATCCTACAAAAGGGAATTGTTTTACCTTAAATTGTGTCTCAAAGTTTAATTTTCAGTGATCTTCTTTTATTTCAGTTTTTTCTAGTTTCCCATTCATTAGATTCTTTGTAGAAATCGCATTTGATCGAAATTCTACNGTAGAAATCGCGTTTTATCGAAATTCTACCAATTTATTTTACCTAACTAAGAAGTATTACTCTATAAAGGTCTTATTATTAATGTAAATATTAACACTTGAATGAATTCAAAATTAATATTTAAGGTACGTCATGATGGTGGTAATTCGAATCTAGTTTTAGCTTTTTTACAACCATCTTGGTAAGTAATTAAAGGATAATGTATCAGGAGTGTTGTGTAGGGTGTATATAATAAACGCCATTGTTAGACATTAATAAGGCCGAGATAGCAACAGTTAAACTATAAATGAAGGAGAGCCTACCTTGAATTACGCAGATGTCTTCGGGGAACAATATTTCAATTTAAATGGCTAGTTAAAACCATTTTATTGGCCTTTGCGGGAATGTTAACACCGTTAGTAAATGTAAATTGGAGATGAGGGCACAGTAGCCAAGTTTTCAGATCCTAATGTGTTTATATTACACAAATAGATAACGGATATTGAAGATAATTACTAGAGCAGGCCAAACTAATATTATATCTACTAGTGTGAATTTAGATTTCACCCTCAAAATTAAAAAATCGGTACCACAGTTTTAAGGAATTAATAAACAGTGAACTATTTATCGCTGGTTTTATCTGTTTCATGATTATAATTCGAGAAAGATACGTTAGAATTTTTAAGTCCAACCATGCCAAAATTGTTAAGGCTTATTAAGTTTTCTTACATTTTATCAGAAATAGTATTCAAGTGTTTTCTGGATAAAATATCATTATCTTAAGGTCGTCAATCTTAAGACTGGTTGGATACACACCTCCACTCTTTCCTATCCTGAGCTAATCTCTAGCTAGCATTTCCCTAAAACTAGAACAACCCACCTTCTTAACTACTTGCGAACAGTAATCTAATCTAAGTCTACCTCTACTCCTCTTAACTCCTGTTTCTGCCTGAGAAGGTGTCCTACCAACCTCGCCTATTCCTTATTGCCTTCCATGGAGTCCTCTGTTCTCCTATTCTTTCTAATACCTCTTCATTTCTAACTCTCTCTATCCACGGTATCCTCATTATTTGCCTGTAACACTACATTTCGAACGATTCTATCCTTTTCTTTTCCGCCGCGCCCACCGTCCATGTTTCGCACCCGCACAAAATCGGACTCCAAACATACATCTTTTTCGAATTTCTAAATTAACCGTTCGCAAACGTAGAAGTGACTTATTTTTATTGAAGGCGTCTCGACCTTGCGCTATCCTTTCCTTTATATCCCTACTACTCCTTCCGTCCTGACTTATCTGACTTCCTACATACCTAAAATCAGCCACTTGTTCAAATTTTTCGTATCCTATCTTGAAATATCATGTACCTCCTAAAATTTCTTGTTTAACGGTTAATTTATTACAGTTAGTAGAAGTAGGGTCGCTTTTGAGATCAATGAGGACTAATAAATATGGAGGACTTCTCTTGAGATAATTGATTTCAGTTTTAATTAAATTAAATGACTTCTTGAGTCGCCGCTCTAAAAATTCTGGGATGAGATTAGACTAAAAGTCTCGTTCTTTTCACGAATATGTTATTAACTGTGTTTCTTACTTGCTGGTACAATGTAAAAGATACATGGGTTCGATTGTCTTCCCACACTGTTGCTTGCCCAGCAGGCCAATGATCGGACGTCGTGTATATTCTCGGGGGAAAAATGGAGCGTCGAAGTACCATCGTTGTTGTGTATATGTGAACTGGAGTCTTGCATGGAAACCGGTAGGACTCCTTTACTAGTATTATAAGTCCACCAAAATCTTGTTACATCTGGAATGGCTTCAACGTGACAATCGACGATGATGGTACCGTGTTGATAGGAGACGCCGACCCGCATTACTTCGAATCCTTTTTTGCAACGTGGTGCATCTGAAACAAACAATAACAAATTCAACAAAAGTAAAGAGACAAATGGCCTATAACTAAAAAATGGTTTATTGGATACACTCTTTTTCAATATAATCATCCGCAACATTTAAGCACTTATATTATCTTCATTATAGCTTCTTAATTCCTCTAGCTACGAATTCATTTTATTGATTTCGAAGCCACTTCCTTGACTTCTCCATCACTTCTCCATATTTTTGCAATGTAACGCGTTTTGGAGTAGTCCCAATAGATAAATATCGGACTAGACAAGGTCTAGACTATACGGGGAATAAGGTGTGACCTCCTAAACCCAGTTGTAGAAGCTTATCAGGGGTCTGCTGGGACTTTTCGTCCTGATAGCTGGTTCAAATTTGTATTCCAACATCTCAGAGTAGTATTGGTTCGTTGACATTCAAATCACATTAGACTGAACGCTGTGAGTCCCCATAGAGGATCGGCAGTTTAAATCAGTGGAGGGTTGAACTTTGAATTTTTTGAACTGCTGTATTTTCACTTCATACTCTGTCTTTCGGTTTCATGGTCGTAGTGATGGATTCAAACGTCTTTGCAAGTCAGCAGTCTTTCAGAGAATCAATCAAACTTTGTTGTTTTATGTCTTGACTGGTGAAAAGTTTCGAATCTTTATGAACTATAGTAAGCAGCCTAGAAGTGATATTGTAAACAGGTCCAAAACTTATTTGACGTACCTCAGGTATCAATTCAACAGAGATTCTTCTGTTATCACGAAGAAATCCATCAATACTTGATTCTTAAGACGGACCAGACGCTTCGGCTAGACGACTACTTCGGAGTTTACAAAATCGTTTACCAAATAACGTTGTGATTGGTTTATCACGACGAACTCATTATATTATACCTATTACATTCTAGCTGCAGTCAATTGAGTAGAATTTTGGATACTTGACTTGTTGACATAAACCATCAAACTATTAAATTTCATACGTAATAATTTATAACATTCATCGCATTATGGTTTCGTTTGATACGTTATGGAAGTTTGGCAATATACATTATGGTTGTGTTTGGAAACACCACCTAACTTGGGGTTAAAGTTGATGGACAAGAACGCGTTGTGGTCATGGTGAAGCTATCGTATGACAATGTACAGTCCATTTCAATTTGTTAGAATTGTGACCTTGAAGAAATCTGCGCGAAGATAGAAAGAATACACACTAGGCGTGAGCAAGACAGAAATAGTTGGAACAAGCTTGAACGAGCAGAGCTCTCAATGGGTGGTCTTAGGAGATCGGCTAGAACTGTACAGTACTAGACGAAAATGTTTAGCAGTTGTGTTAATTAACAAAAATGTATATAAATTAACAATAGAAAACAAAGCAAAAGTTTTATAGGTGTGTAGAACGTTAAGTTAATTCACTTGTTATTATTTTTGGCTAAATATGCTTTTAAATAAAGCATATTCTTAATTTTTAACGAGGCAGTTGAAATAATTTTGCAAATGGTACTGTACACTTTTGGCTAGTTCTCGCTAGATGATCGGTGGAGAAATGAGCTCTGCGGACTAATATGATTGAATTTGGAATTATGCTACGGCGCATCCTAATAAAGGGAAGGGACATATTTCTAACTTCTTGAAACGAGCAGTAATGCAGTGTCCTCATCTAAAGAAGTTAATCGTGATAATGAGCCTCATAAATCATATTGCACAGGCGCCTTTGACCACCTCGATTGTGGTTAATTTTGAGTAGGAATTTGTTAAGTGAAATGTACGTTATGTATGTGCTTATGGGGGTAAAACGCGTCAAAATTAATAAAGCTATTGATTTTTGCAGAGGTTAGAGTATGGCATTTTAGGAGGACGGTATATGTCTGTGTTGGGGTCGAACAGCAGCGACTCGGGCGACGCACAGCGGCGTATCTCTTAACGATCCAATGAATATATGTAAGGGAAGAGTCAAAAGCGTAACGCTATGGCACGGTAGCCCGGGCAATCACGAACATAATGAGATACGTGAAAGCGTAGATCATAGATTAAAAAGACATGAAAAATGAAGGAAATTGGGTACATTCTGAACTTCCAACAGGCGACAGCGCTAACCTCCAGATGCCGCGTACATATAACGTTTTGCAAACCACAAGTCACGAAGCCCGAACCGTCATAAATCGCACGTGTTTATGGAATCAGAAAATGCGAAGGAAGTTGTAGATGCCGCGATACTCATAAAATTGCCGCTAAATCATGCCACAACATGCAAATGTCCTGCTTAAATGCAACATTGTTTTTCGTTTAACTCGACTTTATTACTCACATTATCAAGATTTATCTGCCACTAATTAACTTACTCATGAAGAGAGAAAATAACATCTACTCTTGAATGATTCTTATTTTTGTTGCAAGTTTTAGTAACTACAGCTAAAAGATTTGACGTTTAATTTTTGTCGTGTTTTGGGATTTCCACATGGAAAATTTAATATTAATATTATTTTTATCCTATTTCACATATCTTTACTTTTCGAACTATTCCTCGAGATGTGTCTGGTAAATGACTTTTGGAAATTAATGTAGGCTTGCGCGACCGGTATATTTAGCAGTCGTCTAAAAGGCTCGAAAATCGTTAATAGTAATAGGTAATAATTTACAAACACTAGAGAATGAAACAAATATCAAAAGGGCAACAAAAGCTGAAGTTGATTGATAATGTGTCAAAATATCTGAGAGTGTTTTATGATATTCTACCTACGTAAACTCAAGGACCTGATGATGATATCGAGAAAAAGAATAGGGAGAATCATTATTTTCCCTAACACTGGTCAATGTTTTCCCTAGCACTGGTCATCGATTTCCCTAGCCCTGATCTTTGGAACGTATTTCCTTTTGCGATTAACAATTATCACTGTATATTTAATTGGTGAAAATATGCATCTAAACTTATCGTTAAGCAAAAATATTAAAAACAAATTTGAATCTGCAACAGAGGAAATTCAAGCCTTAGCATAACGAATATGCCAATACATTCAATTTAAAGTTTCTCTTTGATGTTTAACGTGCTGTGACAGTTATCTCACATTTCACAAATTTGAAACTAAGCAACACCATTTTACTTTTGCCTATTAGAAGATCGTGGGCGAGATTCCCAGACAAGGTAAATGCGAAATACGTAGCAGGAGTTTCTGTGAATTTATGGAAACCAAGAACTTAACAGATAGTAAAAATTAATGTAAATGGGGTAGGTACCTACAACATTTCTCAGTATTTGTTATGAAGGTGAAACCATCTACTCCTTGTAACAAAATGATCTGAATTACTTTAAGAAATTTGCAACTTTAAAATAAATTCATAATAATCATTGTAAGAAAATGGGTTTAGGTGTTTATTACTCCACATTTAATCATAAGATATCATCGTCAGTTAGAAACTAAATTAATTTGAATTCCAAAGCGTATTATATCCTATTAGTTACTATCCCTCTCTAAGACACTTCGAAAATACCAAAAAAAACTTTTAAACACTTTTGAGTGTTTCATTCCCACCAGCCACTGATGCTGGTGGGCGGGTAGTCTTTCCGGACTACTCCGGAAGAAAGGGCGGAAGAGTCTCCTTTCAGGAATTGTAGGAATGAGAATGGATGGTGGTTCGGGTGAGAAAAATGAGTCGGACGAAATGAAGACAGATGAGAGAGAAAGATTATCTGTGGAATATTACTGCCCCAGCTGTTGCCTAAATGATCCAAGGAAACCACAGAAAAACTTGGACCAAGACAGGCAGACTCGGAATCGACCCGGCGTCCTCCCGAATGCTAAGCAATGGTCTAGACCTCTAGGCCATGCCGCTCGGTCGAAAATACCAACAAAAAAGGCAATTTGTATTAGCAATGGGGCTTGAAAGAGGTCACACTAGTTAATACACTTGTAGGTTAGGACAGCAAAGGGTTCTGCTTGTAGGGTAAAAACCGTCGCCTTAATTAATAGAAAAAGGACAACTCCATGTCGTTCAAAAGCGGCTAAACTTCCTGAATGCATGCTTCAACTAAACTCTATTAGGGATGGAGCCGGAATTAGAAACAGTAAAATTATCCATTACTATCTGGGTGGATAACAGTGGGAAGACAGATCGCATGATGGTTCAAGTTGAAATGTGAAAGTTGAAATCGAGTTACTAGTCCGAAAAGTTTTTCACCGTCGGACGGTTACCACCACCACACACATGTGTTCCCGATATATCGAGTTTACGATACATTCGGATTCAGCAATGGATGAGGAGAAATAAAACGCCTTGGAAACTAATACTTTTCTGGAGAGAGCAATTAGAGAAACAGGTCACGATCTACGCGAAACTGTTATTACTTGGAAACTTATGGCATCCTTTTGATTAGCGTTACATCATTTAGGAGAATCATGTTCCCATTTCGACGCGTTAAATTCAATAGTTGCCAGCCAACTCAATAATACCTACAGAAATGTTCGAGTAAAGTTTGTCAATTGAAATTTTATACGCAATTAAACTACGTGAACTTCTTTTTAATGGCTACACTAAGGAACTTATTGTATTTTTGAATTACTTTTTTAAAAGCGTTGTAGGTACATATATACTTATACGATCCCACATAGGTAGATAAATAATTGTTAATGTGACATAACCATCAAGGATAACGGATAGTTAATTTTTTAATTGAGTGTATTTATGATAATATTTGTTAAACAATTGTTAATATGAAATATTAATGTGAAAATTCATTTTCAACTATCTTAGGTTAATGAGAAAAAATTTGTTGCTGTTGTCACACCCTCGCCGGGAATCGAACCCGATTCGAAAACGGAAAACATTAGTTCGACAGATCTATGACCTAATAAGTACGGTTTGTCGATGTTGCTGTTGTCATTAGTGTCCGAACGAAACTGGTTTTTACGACCGAAACCGAATTTCGGCAACGGTCTCAGTTTCGGCCGAAACCGAAACCGAAACTTCCTTATAAGGATCATGTTTTGAGAGAAAAATAAAGAAAACGTTATTATAATCAGTCAGTTTTATTTTTTTATCTTTAAATCGCATAGCTCTGCAGTCTTTGTCATTTTCACTTATTGATAATCAAATCAAAATCAACATAACAACCCCTCATTTAAGGAAATACTTTAATTGCGCCTAAAAAATACTTAAAATACTTCGCTTGGATGGAATTTAACGCGCCGAACATGACCGAGCAGAGCGCGAGAACTCCCGAACGCAGTTTAGGTTTCGGTCGTAGTTTCGGCAGGTTTGCTGCCGAAACCGAAACTCGTTTTTTTTTGCCGAAACTCGACCGAAACTCGGTCGGACACTAGTCGTCATCTCTCATAGCTTAGTGGTAGGAAGTATTGGTGCGTAAGCCAAAGGTCCCGAGTTCGATTCCCCGCGAGGGTGTGACAACAGAAACAAATTTTCCCTCATTAACCTGAGGTAGTTTGAAGTAGCTAAAAAGCTGAAAATGAATTTTCACATTATTATTTCATATTAACCACTATTAAATGTTAAAGCGCTTCATATGTATAGAGTTAATTGTTAATGTGGCATTAGTTTCAAATCAATCGTTACATTTATATCCTTAATTGTTTTGAAGCGTGCGATTTTGAGTTATAAATTCCCTTTCATTCGATTTCAAAAGAAATACTGAAACGAATTAGTTGTTTAGCGGAAAAATTAAATCTGGGGATGGTTTCCTTGGAATTGTAAAGTAGGCGTTTAATTTAATTACCATTATATTTCTTAGAATCGGGGTGAAGCTGTTTACTTTTCTTATACCTCCCTACTCACTTAGAAAAAAAGGGGTTTTTCTCATTTTCCGTTGAAGAAGTACGGCGGTCTTCGTAGTTCAAATATAAGACAGCATTGGTAATAAATTATAATTTGCTATTTTAATGTAGAAATTAATGGGTGTGTTGTTATAAGTTTCATTATAATCAGAAGTCTTAGTACATGTTAAGCTGAAACCATTGATATCACCTAATTACAATTTTCGAAAATTCCCCGCAAAATGTTTTTAACCTGACCTAGGTACCTTAAATGCATTGAACAATTGTCCGTCAAAGAGGTATTTTATAATAAGATAGTATGATAATGCAGGCAATGATAAAATTTGCTTATAGATTTTTAGTGTCTTTTAATAGATAGGAATTGGGGTATGTATAGGACAGGGTTGTTAGTAAGTTTGATAGAATGTTCTAGAAGGAAAAGTAGTGAGACTGAGGGTGAAGGCACTGGTTTATAGAATTGAACAGTATAAAATTCAAGAGAAAGCAATTAAAGGTAAAACCAGTTATTAATATGAGAATGCATGCATGAATGGTTGAAGTAGGATTTCTAGGTAAGATTGAGAGAACAATAGAATCTAGATTGAAAGGAAACCAAGATATGCACAAGATAAGAAGTTAAAAAGCATTCAAATAATATTTGAAGTGATACAAAAATAAATTTNATCGACGGTATCGTCATCATTCGCCTGTAGCATCACATTTGGAACGCTTCTAACCTTTTCTTTTTTTCGAAGCGCCCAGTGCTCATGTTTCGCACCCGTACAGCGCCACGCTCCAAACATCTTTAGCAATCTTTTTCGAATTTCTAAATAAACCGTTCACCAGCAGAGAAGTGACTTCTTTTTATTAAAGGTGACTCGATCCTACGCTATCCTCTGCTTTATATCCCTACTACTCCTTCCGTCGTGACTCATATGACTTCCTAGATACCTAAAATCGGTCACTTTTTCTAATTTTTCGTCTCCTATCTTTATATTAGCTCTTTCTCAACTTTTTCTACCTTTGCATTGGCCTATTTCAGAATATTATTCATAAATTGATATTCAACCAGCAAAAATACAAATTGTAGGTAATGCTATATGATTTTAAAATAATTTTTCTTACCTAATATGCTTAGTGTCTCTATTAAGTGAATAAAACTGATAACAAGTATTATTTAAAATGTGGACATATCTAATAATCAAGGAATGGTTTCAGTGTTTACCAGTGAGTACCGTTAATTTTAATTGCATTCCGAAAAGAGGTAAATTCTGGTCCCAAAGGATTCTTACTTTACTTCAGTTCAGGAACTTATTATTAAAAATAATGCTTTTTATGAAGAGTTTTTGATTCTCTTGTAAAATAATTTAAAACCACAGCATTAAAGTAAGTGGAATATACTAAAGAACACTTTATTTAATATGCCAATGTAAATGTTGCGTTCTTCGGATAAGAAAGAAAAGAATAAATTTATTGGCAGTTTCTATCTCGTTTTCAATTCGTTTCGGGGAATATTAGGTATCTAGGGGTTATCATCAGGCATCAATTTGAAGATAAGTGAAAATCGTGGAGAATCCGCGAAATTGCTTTTCTAACACTTTCGTTATTCCGAAACAGACAGGGAATATTTTCCGCCAATCTGTCTCATTTTCAGCAGTGAAACAGAGCTACATAGATGCAGTTAGGTGTGCCCTCTAGAATATTACGTCAACATGAATCATATAGGTCACAAAGGTTCGTTTGATGTTAAAAGAGGTGCACCACCTATACATATATATCATACATGTAACTAGACAGGTGGATACATTCAAAATTTTGTATGACTTTGAACTGTGTTTGTTGGTAGCTTGAATGGCGCCAGCGTCGGGTCATTGAGAACGCTTTTCTGAAAAGCGAAGGTTTAATTCTGAAAATTGCCACTCCTTTCTTATTACAACGTGACTCGTAGGAATTATTAGGTGTGAATAAAATGCAAAATGTATTACTTCAGTACTATTTTACCACTAAAATTTACACAATAACATCTCTACTATTTCTATTAAACAAATTACGTATTCTGTTTTTGTTAATTTTAGAATTTCATAATATCCAACTACAGTATCGCACTGTATCGCCCTCTAGTGGGTATTCGCGATCAACGTCTGGTATATATTGGTAAAGGTAGTCTTTCCGGACTACTCCGGAAGAAAGGGCGGAAGAGTCTCCTTTCAGGANCTTATGATGATAATGTTTAAGAACGTTCAGTTTATTGTAATAGTTTATTTTACTGTTTGTCTCCCCCAAATGCTCTGAGTTCTGCTGGTGACATTGTTGCATTGTTTTATTACAATTTTCACGGGTTGTGCGTATTATGGTTGTTTGTAGATATGAAATTTGGTTAGTGCCTCTTTGAGTTTGTTTAAAAATTACTCGCGAGCAAACATATTCAACATCGGGTAAGGTTTTCAAAAGGAACAGATACGGGTAGAGGAAGTTATTATATGCTCTATTCCTATCACTTACTTGTGACAGCGAGGTAACCAGCTATACAGATGAGACAAAGGACGTATTTATATTATACAGTGGGTAAATAATATGCAAACATCTCTCATAACGACAAAGGCATACCAGACTGTGCTCTAGACATTGCCATAAAGGCAAGGAAGAACGTAAAGTCTCTAATGAAAATTCTGGTCATGCAAGACACATTGATATACCTAGAGAAAAACCTTTTCCTTGAAAATGAAAATAATGAAAATGTTTGGTCCCTTGTCAAACATAATTGTTTAAGAACATATACCATATATAAAAAAAGTATTTTGAGAAAAAATTGAAGGACATTTTTTTGTTTCTTCAGTACTAACAACAGAATATTTCAGTTAAAACACTGAGCACAAGAATAAATAGACACTTTTGCTAATTGCGCTAATAGCGGAAAGTCGCCTAATATTGGATACTGCGTTATTTCAGAACACGTTATTAATATTTTGTAAGTAAATCCACAAAACGAAAGATCTGCAACATGAAGTGGTCTTGTGTGAAGCAGTTCGGCTATTCACCAGCAAGTTTCGTTATAAAATTATGTGTTTTTTGTGTTCTAGAATAGTTATTTTTGCCTAAGTGATTGAAACAAAAATTACCCTCAGGGATTTTTTTTATTTTATTGGGTTTCTCATTTTCGAAATTCAATTTTAAGGTAACCTTCCTGCGTGTTGCCGAGGGGTAGGATTCCCGCACTTTCATTACTCTGAATAAAACGTTCCTGTAACAAAAAAATTAATTCTTTCTGGTTATTTATTAATTTAGAAAGTAAGCTACTCTGCTGCCGCACAACAAATTTTATTTAATTTAAAACGTTTTATAGACTATTAGATATTACATGGTCTGGGTTTTCGTTAACGTCACCGTTGCTGTGGCCATCCGTTCACGCTGACAGAGGTACGGTGGCCTCGAACTTAACTCTTCACTTGGGGATTTATTTAGTATATGAAGGCTATTACAAGGTCTGTTTATAACAGTAGATAGAACAATTTCATATATGTTTTAGGCGAAGTCTCTTCATTTATTTTAAATAACTGAAAAGTTTGAAAATCGGTCAGATGATATACGAAGCCGAGATAAAAATTTTCAGTCTCTCAGAGTCTTTGAAAGCGAGACTCGAGTCTCCGTCTCTCATCGAGTCTATCTGGTGTCGCTGAGAGAGACTGTCGAGAGACTGTCAAAAAAACTGTTTAACGTCCCTGAACAAAATGAGTCTCTCAATAAATGGTGTCTCGATAGACATGGTTAAAATTTTCTAAGTTCAACATTTTTTACTTTTATTTATTCAGTCTCTCCGTGAGAGACTCAAATCTCTGAATTAACAATTGTATCGTTCGAGTCTCTCATACAGAGACTGTGAGAGATCCATAAAAACACCTAGGCAATCACTGAGAGACTGTGAAAGATTGTGAGAAATGCTCTCAGAGACGCTAAAAGACTGAAATATTCTGAGAGACTAAAAATTTTTGTCTAGGGAAGTATCCAAAGATTTTATTAGTTTAATTAGATACTGGAATAGTTTTAGTTCACTTAGTTTACTGTTGGTTAGTTTATAAACTGACTGAACAGTAACATGCATAAAAATCTAAAGATTACGGTATTAATACAGAGACGTTTCTAGAATAATTCAGTTAGTTTATAAATCAACTGTTTGACCACTTCAACCGTATAATGCGCATACTTTTTGGTATAGCTATCTACATCCCACTAAAATGAAAATAAATACAACATAAAGTCATAGATAGACGCTAAATTGGAAGTTTATTACAGTATTAGTGCCCTGAACCATTTGGTACATTGTAAAAAATGCAGTAATAACGTTAGAATGAGATTATTACAATAGGAGTCGTCCTTTTTACAACATAAAGTTGGTTTGAAACGACAAAACGTCAAAGTTATGCGGCGACCGTTATGAGACACATTATCTCTTCGGTCTGTTTAGTTTTTAAGAATGATGCAGTTTTAATGTGTTTTACGGAGTGCAGAATAAGATCCCGCGACGTTTTAGGAGCCGTAAGGGAGCGGCAATGGCGTAACATCCACCGGGATAAATGTCCGTACATACACAGGGTTGTAATAGAGTAGAAGAAAACGGTAAAGTATTCCGTATAACGTTTATTCGTTCGTTCGTTCGTTGAGCTGAGCTGCTTGGCGAACTTGTTAAGTGGAGTGTCTAAAAGAATGAACTGGAAACGACGCATCGCATCGTTGCGCCCCGCTCCACTAAGCCAAAAGCTTGATAAAGGAGCCACGATATTAATGAAGAATATCACGTAAAGTACGACCCAGATTTCGCCCCCGAATCGCACTGAGAAGTTTATATCGCGCGTCATCCGATGTTTTATTAGATGGCAATTTTTCTGCCGCATTTGCCCCTGCCGTTTGACAAATGCTTTTTTCTTTTTAACTCGAGAAGTAAGGATAGCTTACAATAAAGCATAAAATGGCGGAAATAGCTTCCTATCGAACCTAAATAAAAACCAGTTTGGTCACACTTCAGTTAACTCATCTACACTAAACTTTTTTTGCAAAATCTAATACGGTCTAGTCATTACACAACATGCTACATTATTTCTTCTGTTAATTAAAATTCAAAATCAGTTACAATCCGGTCCTGGGCGTGAATTAGCAATGTGGGTATGCACCCATGCACCGAGGTGAGATAAAGACTCAGAAGTTACAACCACTTGTCGATAGGCTAAAGTAAACATCAGCAAGACTACTACAACACATAATGTTTAGATTCCTATCACTATATAATCAAATTAATAACAACAAGTTTAGCAGTTACTGAATTTTGTTGCCATTTCTTCCACTACGATTGTATAAAGTAAGAATCAAACTACGTATGGGACAAGGGTTTTTCATAAAAATAATTGATTGATTCTTAGTTTAGCAATTGTACCAATATTGACTATCATTATGTCTGCTGGTTACTGGCTGATTGAATACGACGTTGCATTGTCTCGTTTTTCGCCAGGGCCGGAATTAGATTTATTATTTTCTACTACGTTTTTCTCGAAAAATATGACGTTCAGACCTGTACACATTTACTTAATTTTCTTATATTGTAGTACTCTATCACCTCTGCAAGGTTGCTGCTTATTTCGGAAACACCCTGTATAGGTATGCATTTTATAAAAATGATGATATTTTCCAAATTATATCACCTGGTGAAGGAATTAAATATATAAAATTTACCTCTTCAGTACAAAGAAAACGTAATGTCCTATTAGAAGTGGCATTTATCGTCATGTAATTTTTACTTACATCATGATACCAACTGTATGCGTGGGGGGATGGTCGAGCTTTGGTGTCGCAGTGAAGAGTCACATTCAACCCTTCCTTTGCATGCGACATCGGTCCACTTCCCGGATGTACGGCCACCTTAGGCGGATCTGAAACAATTTCCGAATAATTACGTAAGGCAATAAAGATTAGGAATACCCTAGCCGGACCTTCCCTTTGTTGATACGTCATTTCGTAAATTTTGTCCACTTAAATGGGTTAACGACAGATTAAAAGGGTTCAACAATAACTTTAAGCTCGGCACAACTATCCGAACTCTACGACCAATCCCTCCGTTAAACATTTATTACAGAAGCGATAGTGCAATTTATCTGACGAAGTATAAACTAATGTTAAGTCCCATGATTTAATTAATTGGACGTTGAATAATTCCTTCAATATTTTTGATTGAAGCATAATACTATATATGCGTCACACCCCCTAATGAATAGGGGGGGGCAGTGGGGAGTGCAAAAATATGGAAGCTTGTAAATAAACCATTTATTTCCTAAAGAAAATGGTAAATGTCCAGATTGTGAAATCGTAACGATGGTCGGAAGGGGAAGTTCGTGGGATGGAGTAGGGGTTGGATATGAAAATTCGAGTATTTTAGAAATTTCCTTTTGTCGTAAAAATAGTTGAGATTGTTTTGGTTCGTCCTGTAGGTACATTATATATAATCGCATCACGTATCGGCTGCTATCTGATCCCGCGTCATGATTTTAAAAATCGAGGACACATCTCCGGCATTATTGACTTACATCATCAATTGGGAAGTAAGTTATGAGACGGTTAGACCACAAGCCCGTCGAGACATCGAGACAACACATGATGAATTAGATGCCAATAAGGCACTACACCAGGATGAATGATAAGCAATCCAAAGCCAGTCTCGAAATTTTAGGTCGAACGGATTGATGGCAGTGTCTGTTGTAGAAAATCCAATCGACACTGTTGCAATCTGTTGAAATGGATTGAGCAAAATGAAACTATTACCTTGCCGGTTAAATTTTTATTACTTTGTCGAAAACGCGGAAAAGGAAGAAGTAAAATAAAAAATGTGCCTCAATATTCCTTTTTTTTTGCAAACATCTTTAGTTATTTTATTTCCTTAAACAAAATTCTGAAATGTGTTGTAGTCAGCACGAGTGTGTTTGTGTGCGATCGGACCCACCTGTACGTGAACGGCTTATCGATTCGCCGACTAGCCGCGGGCACCTTTCTTCATGTGCGCCGTAGTTAAACAGTTCAAAGAAATAATAAACTATCCGGATGTCTCCAGAAGGTTCCAGAAGGTAAACGAGAGAGTATTTAAAGGAAGAGACGATCGCCGAGATATGAAGGAAATAAATTGACGGTTACAGAAGTGAAATTGACAGTGATAGAAGTGAAATAAATAGCGTAGTGAATAGTGATATATCAACAGTAGTGTAAATAAATAGAATAATTCATAACCTAAGTTTAGTAATAATTTAATAGTGTTTTTAAGTGCTTTAATAATAAGTGCAAATAAATAGTTTTTGTCGTTATCAGTCTTAGAAGTAAATTTTGTTAAACCCACGAACATTACAGTATGCTACAAAACTGTCTTCCTGATAACGACAAAGTGAATATTCTAGGTTTCTAAGATTTCTGCTCTTATATGAAAGATTGTACAATAGTGTTCTTATATTAGGTAGGTACATCAAATGCGACAAGAAAAGCTTCATTGTTAGGTTTTACTTGTCGTGTACGCAGATTAATGAAAGATCCAGAGACACGGTGTCAAATTGTTTTAGGTATCTGCTTTCGTTCCATCTTGAAGTCTCGTTTCTCATGTAAAATTCGACCTAGATGTTTATCTCTCGACAGCTTTTCTTCGATTGAAAGCTAGGTACTTCTTCTTTCCTACTTTACCTTTGTTTAAAAGCACGTACAATGCACCACGTAGGTACATATATATACCAGTACAAATATAATATTGAATAAGGACTTTTCGGTTTTAAAGTCGGATGAGAGTTCTTCGAATGTACAGTATCCAGTAAGATTAGCGCTCGTTGTTTCGTTCTACGGAAACGCCGCTGATACGATGGAAAAGCGAGTTAGTTCCTGTTGCAGTTTTACAAAAAGGAAAAGAATGTTTTCGCTTTTCGCAGGAAGAAACGCCACCATTTATTAAATGCAGTTGACGGAATTGTTTATCTAAAGATGTGATTTGTTTTATGTTTCTTAAAAGTATATCATCATCATCATCATCATAAGGTCGTCAGTTCTAAGACTGGTTGGACACGCACCTCTGTTCTTTCCTATCCTGAGCTAATTTTCGTATTTCCCTAAAACTAGAACAACCCACATTCTTAACTATTTGCGAACAGTAATCTAATCTAGGTCTACCTCTACTCTCCTTAACTCGTATTTCTGCCTCTAATATGTTTCTGAATAGACCTATCTCGCCTATTTCTTATTGACTTCCATAGAGTCCTCTGTTCTCTTACTTTTTCTAATACCTCTTTATTTCTAACCTTCTCTATCCACGGTATCCTCATCATTCGCCTGTAACACCACATTTCGGACGCTTCTATCCTTTTCTTTTTCGCCGCTCCCACTGTCCATGTTTCGCACCCGTACAGCGCCGTGCTCCAGACATAAACCTTTAACAAACTTTTCCGAATTTCTAAATTAACCGTTCGCGAGCATAGAAGTGACTTCTTTTTATTGAAGTCTTATCTGACTTCGTAGATACCTAAAATCGGTCACTTTTTCTAATTTTTCGTCTCCTATCTTTATATTAGCTCTTTCTCAACTTTTTCTACCTTTGCATTGGCCTATTTCAGAATATTATTCATAAATTGATATTCAACCAGCAAAAATACAAATTGTAGGTAATGCTATATGATTTTAAAATAATTTTTCTTACCTAATATGCTTAGTGTCTCTATTAAGTGAATAAAACTGATAACAAGTATTATTTAAAATGTGGACATATCTAATAATCAAGGAATGGTTTCAGTGTTTACCAGTGAGTACCGTTAATTTTAATTGCATTCCGAAAAGAGGTAAATTCTGGTCCCAAAGGATTCTTACTTTACTTCAGTTCAGGAACTTATTATTAAAAATAATGCTTTTTATGAAGAGTTTTTGATTCTCTTGTAAAATAATTTAAAACCACAGCATTAAAGTAAGTGGTTTTTATTGTGTTTTGATAGTTCCATCAGATGTAGATACTAACTGAAATAGTAGGTAAAAGGTTAACTCAATTTTTAGCGGATGCGCCTGGTACCGATATACGTAAGTGGGCTACTGATTCTTTTAATTGGAGATTGCATCAAAAAAGATTTGTCACGTGAACAACGACGAATTCTTGGAGTTGTTTTCTTATCGTTAGAAAACAAAAGACGGTAAATGATTCAATTGCTTGAGATTAAATAACGTCGCAATCGTGTATCGACTTGAACGAAACGGGTGAAATGGGGTTCCCATTGGAGAATTGTCCAGCATAAATTTAACGTTTTGTATTCTGATCAGATCACAAACAGCTTCGTAATCCGGCATCCCTGGCAAGGAGAAGGACCCGGGGTCGGACGCCCTCTATACCTACCTACCGTACGTGAAGTTCATTTAAAGCTCCCACGAAATTACGTACGATCCAAATTGCCATTAATCTGTATTTATACTAACGAGCGCCTTCAGATAAAGTTTAAAGTTCAGCGGTTGAGTTGGATGTCTACGGTAAAACGTGCCAGTCTGCCTAAGAAAACGCTTGTTCTAAATTCAGATCTTGATAGCACTGATACAGATATTCGGAAAGAACTAATACAAAACGACACTAAAATAATTAGTTTTTTATTGAAACAGATTAGCTGTAGAAAAAGCAAACGTCGATTGTAATGCTTTTTCTTATGTACTGCTGTACCACATTTTTTAATGAATAAACTCTTAATGGTTTTAAGAAATTTAATTCATTAGCACAAAAACGGAATATTTACAAAATAAGTACAATGTAAAACTATCGTGAAACTAACTAACAAATAAACTAAACTAATTGAACGAAGAAATATATACAATGAATATACTAAAATGAAAAAATGTATAAGGGCTTAATTGAGTTGAAAATGTGATGAATGATTTGAGCTGACTGACTGACTGTTTGTCTGAATTAACTGTTTATATAAATGTGGAAGTAAATAGCTAGAAAGTAGATACATAAAGCCAGATGAGGGTTGCGAATTGAATTGTAAAATGACCCAAATGGTCGAACATGACTATGAATAACTTAGAATTAAAAGTGACAAATTTGCAAACTAAAATAAAATTTTATATCTAGCTATACTTGTTGAAAAGTCTTTGATAAAACCGAACACTAGCTTAGGAATTTTTTTTACATAACTGTAACCAAACAGACGCTTCAGATTACGATTATATTATGGTTTTAATGACGATGATGTATTTTAAAACCAAGTCCTTATAGTTTTAGTTTTTTGAAGATACTAAACGTTTGAACATAGATATATGGAAATAGACCTTAAAGACATATTAGAAGCACAAACAGAAGTTAAGAGGAGTAGAAGTAGATCTAGATAAGATTATTGTTCACAAATAGTTAAGGATGTGGGATGTTGTAGTTTTAGGGAAAAGCGAAGATTAGCTCAAGATAGGAAAGGGTAAACAAGTGCGTGTTCAACCAGTCTTAGAACTGACGACCTTATGATGATAATGTTTAAGAACGTTCAGTTTATTGTAATAGTTTATTTTACTGTTTGTCTCCCCCAAATGCTCTGAGTTCTGCTGGTGACATTGTTGCATTGTTTTATTACAATTTTCACGGGTTGTGCGTATTATGGTTGTTTGTAGATATGAAATTTGGTTAGTGCCTCTTTGAGTTTGTTTAAAAATTACTCGCGAGCAAACATATTCAACATCGGGTAAGGTTTTCAAAAGGAACAGATACGGGTAGAGGAAGTTATTATATGCTCTATTCCTATCACTTACTTGTGACAGCGAGGTAACCAGCTATACAGATGAGACAAAGGACGTATTTATATTATACAGTGGGTAAATAATATGCAAACATCTCTCATAACGACAAAGGCATACCAGACTGTGCTCTAGACATTGCCATAAAGGCAAGGAAGAACGTAAAGTCTCTAATGAAAATTCTGGTCATGCAAGACACATTGATATACCTAGAGAAAAACCTTTTCCTTGAAAATGAAAATAATGAAAATGTTTGGTCCCTTGTCAAACATAATTGTTTAAGAACATATACCATATATAAAAAAAGTATTTTGAGAAAAAATTGAAGGACATTTTTTTGTTTCTTCAGTACTAACAACAGAATATTTCAGTTAAAACACTGAGCACAAGAATAAATAGACACTTTTGCTAATTGCGCTAATAGCGGAAAGTCGCCTAATATTGGATACTGCGTTATTTCAGAACACGTTATTAATATTTTGTAAGTAAATCCACAAAACGAAAGATCTGCAACATGAAGTGGTCTTGTGTGAAGCAGTTCGGCTATTCACCAGCAAGTTTCGTTATAAAATTATGTGTTTTTTGTGTTCTAGAATAGTTATTTTTGCCTAAGTGATTGAAACAAAAATTACCCTCAGGGATTTTTTTTATTTTATTGGGTTTCTCATTTTCGAAATTCAATTTTAAGGTAACCTTCCTATTACACATTAGGCAGCCTTTATCTTTTAGGTTAGATGATTGAAACAAAAAATCATGGCGACAGTCATTCGGGACTCAGAAGAAATCCTGTTGATCGATTATAAAAATAAAGGTGTCTCCATAACTGGAGAATAGTATAGTATTGAAGCATACATGCTTCAATCCCAGAGCGGTTAGGTTAAAGGAAGCAGTCAAATAAAAGGGAAGAGGAAAATTGACCAAAGGTGTCCTCGTTCTGCACGACAACTCGCCTGTTCACAACAGCCGTGTTACGATGCTTGCCCTACAGAACGTGGGTTTCGAAATTTTGGCACACCCACCCTAAAGTCCTGACCTGGCTCCCAGCGATGATTACCTATTCTAAACTTGAAAAAATTTTCAAGCGACGAAGTGAAGGATGCAGTTTCGGCGTATTTTCAGACAAAGACAAAACATTTTTTCTAAGGTATACGTAAGTTAATTGAAAGATCGGAAAAATGTATAAGGGTAGCAAACAAATAGAAAAAGCAAATTTCTACTTTTATTCCCACATTCCGCAAACTTAGAAAAGTCCCCTCGTAGCTATTGATCCATCCATATTTGACAAGTATCGTAATGTAATAATTAGATGCATAATATATATATATGGATGTACATAGATTTATACATAGGTTTTCGTATGTAGTAGGTACCTATATCGAAAATGTGTTTAGCAAACTTTTCAAGCATGAAGTCAGAAGTGGAAACATCGTATCGCCCAATGTTTCCTAATCTAGTTAGCTGCGGTTTCTCGAGGGAGCGACCGGCTGACCCAACATTTGTCATAGGGCCGAATTATCCGCATAGAGCATAGACTGACCTACGAGCAAGCTTGCAAGAATAATGTCCCGTTTGTAGGAGCACGGTGGTGTGCGGTACGGTGGTGGCGGGACGACGATGATAATAATAATAGTGAACTATCACACTTGCCACGATCGTAAATATTATCACAAGCAAATGCACCATTACATGCACAGTTCTATTACTATTCCAAAATCTTGCAAAATATCCTACTGATATTATTTATGAGAGAAACCACGGTTTATCTAAGAAGTTCGACGGTAGCAAATGATTAAAATTTTATGAAATAAACTAATTAATACTTTATCGATTGAGGTTGAATTATTTGAATGCAAAACGTTGATATTATTGTGGTTTAAAAATTAAATACTTGCTGTGGCGCGTTTGGAGTAACATATTTGCGTGCAACGGATGTTGCGCGCGCACAGTTAACGAAAAATCGACAGTATGAAGTTAGCTGCATAACCCGGTCAGTAGGAGGAGCTTTGTACGACAGTTTTCTACATGTATTGAAATACATAATCGTGTAAATAATTATTATAATGCACATGTAAATAGAAGAAGGTATAACCAAAGATCAACATTTCTATTAACTGTTCCTTAACAGCGCCTATTCTATTCAGTTAAACAAAATTTTCGACTTGTAATATTTAACCATTGTATCATCTGACATATTCCCACAAGAAGCCTAAGTTAGTGTATTGCATGGTTTATATTCAGTCACCAGCAACTAACGAAGGTTGGATAGAGAACAATATGAAAATTCGCTGGAGCTCGAGAACATCACAAAAGGATTATTAGCTGGAAGGGAACGGGTGAGAGGCACTTACATGCAACTTGTATTTGTCTCCTGTCTTCGACGGATCCCCCGGGAAATCGGGGATTATCTGCACGACACACGAGATCCTGGCCGTCGTCCTCTGCCTTCACGTTTAGCGTCAAGATGCTGTTTGTGAACGACTCTGTCTTCTCCTCCTGCAAATAAAATTAGGTGCCGCCAGGACTCTTCAACTTAACTTTTCTCTTAGTAAATGTAACAGCTGTTTACACTTTTCCTTTTACTCAATTTATATATATATATATATATATATATATATGCATNTACGGGAAATTTATTACTAATATTTTAAAAAGAAAATTGAGACCATATCTCCATATTATCAGTGTGGTATTGTTATGGTGTAAATTAGTGTGGCTTCATCAAATAAAATTTTCCATAGACCTTAGGTGCATTGCCATATGTAACCACCATGTCATCATATTCTGCAAGTTATTACATTGGTTTCTGCTTGATATTTCCACATTCAAATTATTTTTGTATTTTGTGGCAATACTTTGCCAATCGAACGCTAACAGATGCAGATTATTACTAATCATTACGTACAATTGACTTGTCTACGTATCAGCTGTTGCGAAGATCACGAATAGGTATGTGTGTTTCGTTGAAAGCCGATAAGGTAACGCGGAAGCGGTTGTAGTATGACGAGATGCACTCTACAGTGGCTCCAAAAGTGACCCTTTAAATATTCTGGAATACTGATCAGAAATAGTACATAGATATACCGTTTTCGTCTTCTAGCGCTTCTAATATTATAAAATGCCGTGGCGAACAATTTTTATCTCTTCTTTTTATATAAAGCAATTTACAGTGGAAAGTTTTTAATCATTTCCGAAGGTTTTTCTTCAAACGGAATCAGCTCGAGACTTAATTATTCGTTATTTGAATTTAAGTTCTATTTATTTTTCAGTATTTAGCAGTGAAGCTTCTGAAACTCTCAAATTACATTCTGTGAAGTACCTACTTCGTTAGTATTTGAAAAAACTATTAATTTATTCTCTCGACAGAAGAAATAAATCCGACTCTATCAATAAACTATCAGATATATTTCGCATTAAGTACATAACTAGATAAAGTTTATAAATTAGGCTTTTACTGAAGGATTTTAAGGCGGATAAAAATAAGACACCGTTTTTAGAAGAAATAAAAATTGAAAAAAAAATATAATAATTTAAATATCGGAAGGCATTGCTTACGTTTTATATGAAATTATTTGTAAACAAAAGCAAAAAAGAAAAGAGTAACAAGCATCCTTAAAAAGTTAAAAGACGAGGAATGAGAATAATAACTTGTAAAATATAAAAAATAAATATCCGTAAACAAACCCTTAACTTTTGTATCGCAAAAGTGAGCAACGAATGTAAATATTTTGTTAATGATCTTTACTTTTTGATGCTAGAGTATTGAGTTCATAAGCAGTTTCAGTTTTCTGTTCTCTTTAAGCAAAATTAAATCTAAAACGATCACTAATTGTCTGTAGGCATTTAATTAATATTAAGATTGCATTCTTCTCAAAAGCTATGCAATTAATTTTCGTACTGAGATAATTTTTAGATGTTGTTTTTGACGTTGAAATTCAATTTTAATAAACTTTCTTTTTCCATTTGTTTCAGAGACTTTCATGTCGGCAACGTGGTGCACCTGTAGACTAATTGCTCGGTAAGTCCTTCAGTTTTATGAAGTTTTTATTATTCGATATAACTTTAAATTACCTATGAGATATATAAATGTCTCTGTATGCTAGAAATGATCTTTGAATGATCTTTACAAGGTGCAACACCTTTCTGATTCCCTTAGTTATATCAAATTATTAAACTAAACTGATTTTCAAAACAATTCACGTATTACGATACGATAATTTTAAATACTTTTCTAACGGCAATTATGACTGATAGCAATCTGTAAATGTTTGGAATAAAATAATTCGAAGTGGTCTGTATTCTATCGAAACTGCCAGACGCGAATCGCGATTTCGATCTTTTTGGATCTCATCAGCGCGTCGCAGACAGCTCCGGCAGAACACAGACCAACTTTTACCTGCTGTCTTAACAGCACGTTTTAGAAAATACCACAAATGGCGCGGTAAACGCCCTCTGTAGTACGATGTTAGATTTTAGGATTACGTATGCTCCAAGAAGGTCCATTTAAATATATGGATATCTACTTGTTGAAACAAATCTCGGCATAGCTAACCTCAACGTGATAGGCAAGTTACCATAACGTACTACAGATGGCGTTTACCGCGCCATCTGTGGTATTTTCCAAAACGCGCTGTTAAGACAGGAGGTAAAAGTTGGTCTGTGTTCTGTCGCAGCTGCCTGCGACGCGCTGACGAGATCCAAAAAGATCAAAATCGCGATCCGCGTCTGGCAGTTTCGACAGAATACAGACCACTTCGAATTATTTTATTCGATTATGGTAACGTGCCTATCA